GGCTCAGTTGGTTGAGTGTCTGCCTTCGGCTCAGGTCATGATCTCAGGGTCCTGGGATCGAGTCCCACATTGGGCTCTCTGCTCAGCGGGGAGAATGCTTCTCCCTCTGCCTCTGCTGCTCCCCCTGCTTGTGCTCTCTCTCTCTCTCAGGTAAATAAAATCTTTATAAAGAAAAGGGAAGGAAGTCCTGGCATATGCTATAACATTGAAAACCTTATGCTAAGTCCAAGAAACCACATTGTTGTATGATTACATTTATGTAAAATGTCTTGACTAGGTGAACCCAGAAAGAATAGAGGTTGCTAGAGGGTAGAGTGAGGGAGGAAGAGGGAGAGAATGCTAATGGGTATAAGGTTTATTTTGGGGGGGGTGATAAAAATGTTCGGAAATTAAGTAGTGGTGATGGTTGCGCAAATCTGTGTTTAGCCACAGAATTACAAAGCCACGGAACCGTATACTTGAAAGAGGTGAATTTTATGGAATTTAAATTATATCTCAATAAAAATAAAGGACCCTACATAAATGTTTCTTTGAGTGTCAGGTAAGGATCTCAGGTAAAATTAGTCCTGTTTAAACCACTCAGCATTCTAAAAAAAAAAAAAAAAAAGATATTAAATTCTCACCCAAAGCAAACTCGAGAATGTAACGGGGAGGGAGTGAGCTCTGGTGTCTCTTCTTGATCTTATAAGGACGGTAGTCCTATAGAATTAGGGCCTCTTCCTTATGACCTCGTTGAACCTTAATTACCTGGCAAAGGCCCTATTTCCAAGAACTAGTCCCATGGAGGGTCAGGGCTTCAGCCTTTGTATAATTCAGTCCATGGTGCATTCGAAATAAATATCCACTTTGGTATTCAAATTGTATTGATCATACAGTACACTTTCTTCCTTTTTAAAGGTACTTAAATTGTATACTCAGGCCCAGCAAAACCTGGCTCTGGCCCCGATTATTCCTCTTACAGAGGAGGACATGAAAGCTATTTAGGAAGAAGTGCTCGGCTCTCAGTCACTCTGTGGCTGAGTGGGCCTGCCGCTACACAGAGCGGGGCCCCTTGGTCAGCAGCCTCCACATTGCTGGGAGCCTGTTTCGGAAATGCCGGACCCACTGTGCCAGAATCTTTTAACAAGATCACAGGAGCATCTTGTGCATATTCAAGTTTGGGAAGCCCTGCGGTGGGCGAGGCTGCCTCCACCAGCCGGCAGATTTCCTGTGAATGCTTCCTATCCTTTCCTTCCCATAGGGGAAGCTGGAGTGACTCTCGGCGTGGCCCAGGTACCCCAGCTCGACGCAAGGGGGGCCAAGTGCACAAGGGGTGTGGAGCACGGACAGGCTGTTTCTGCCCCAGGTGGGCCCATAGAGAGGAAAGGTGAGGTCTGGAAGGGGAGGCAGCAGCCAAGGAGGGGCCTGGGCTCAGAGCAAGGGAAAATGTCCCTAAAAGGGCCTCGCTCTGGCTCCTGCTCCTCGGGTCCAGAGCCATAGCCAGGGCTGGCCAGGGACCAACATGGTGCCCTGGGACACAGAGCAGGCTCAGCCATGCTCTGTGCACGAAAGGGGCAAAGGTTCAGCTTTCAGGCAGCGAGTGCATGGGAAGGCAAGACCATGTCACCACCACAGTGTGCTTGAGCCAGGCAGCCTGTCTCTAACCTGGTGTTCCTGATGGGAACCAGAAATCGGCTGACCTGGGAACATTTATATCACAAAAAACTGGCAAATGCTACCAATCGAGGCTTTTTTTTTTTTAATGATTTTATTTATTTATTTGACAGAGAGAGACACAGTGAGAGAGGGAACACAAGCAAGGGGGAGTGGGAGAGGGAGAAGCAGGCTTCCTGTGGAGCAGGGAGCCCGATTCGGGGCTCGATCCCAGGACCCTGGGATCATGACCTGAGCCGAAGGCAGACGCTTAACCGACTGAGCCACCCAGGCGCCCCCGAGGCTTTTTTTTTTAAGAGTCATTTTATTATTTTTTATTATTTTTGAATTTTTTATTGTTATGTTAATCACCATTTTAAGAGTCATTTTAAAACATTTGTCACGCCACTAATAAAAAGTTACATTTTAAGGACCAAAAAAAAAAAAGATCACTAAAATTCAAACCTGGTGTGTTCCATCTCTTTCAACAAAACATCCCCCTTCCTCATATAGCATTTGTCTAAAGCCTTGAGATCCAGAATATTAAGCTTGTCTTTAATATTTACCTCCTGAGCAGTTTCACTTAAAAAAATAAAAAGAGAGAATGATGTGTAAAATAATAAAGAAGATTAATAAGAAAAAAAAAATTTGTCAGCACATTCCTGGATATTTCCAACACCTGAAATAGATAACGTAGAGATAGTCAGTATCTGAAAAGGTGTTAGTTTTAGTCAAGGGAATTGAAAAGTGTGCAGGGGGGAGAAGCAGTAAGAAAATTAATGGCCTTGTCTGGGATTGTGCTGTTTGCTGTAAAAGGTCGGCGGGTATGGCAGCACGGGAGGGTGTCCTCCTCGAGGACTCAGCAACAGTCGAACAGTCTTGGGGACCGCCCCCAGCCTTCTGCTTCTCAGCCTCTGTCTGGAAGAGCTAAGCCCCTGTCTGTCTTCTGTTTCCCTTCTTGAGCTCCATCTGCAAGGTGTCTCCACATCACACACAAAGGCTGGCCTACGGCAGGTGCTCCCAAGAATCTGTTGAACTGCTCAATTTTGAAAACGCCTCTACCCTGGTGGATCTACTGGGATCCTCACCAGTAAGGGAATTTGTGTTGCAACATACAGAGCAGTTGGTCCCCTGTCTGCTGGCCTCCCGGGCTCTGCACCGAGCCCCACAGCTGGCCCACGGGATTGCCAGGTCCAGCCTATTCCGACTCTCCGCTGAGGGCCTTGGGAGCTCAGCCCTGCTCCAGTGGCAAGTCTGACTCCGTCCTCTGCCTCATTGTGACATCTCTCCCCAGACCCCACCTTCCACCCCATTCCTGACCAGTGGTGCCTGTTGGGTTTTAAGGTTGGAGATGCCTGGTGGCCTCCAGGAATTGGTGGTTGAGGCTTGAGATCCTTCTAGGCCTTCATCCCCGGAGAGCACCTCGAATCTCAGCCCGGAGGTGGGATACTGCCTCCTTCTCATCATTTTCTTTAGACATGAACTGTCTTGCTGAGAAACTCTTCACCAGCTCCGATTCCACCAGCCACCTCCCACCAGGAACCTCCTCCTGCCTTTGCCAGGCCCTCAGGTTACGGGTGATCTGTGAGCTGGATGTCCTGCTGGGGTCCTCAGCCAGGTCCAGGCCCATCATCCCTGGTCCACTTCTGAGCTCTGGTCCTGCTCAGGTTGCCCTTTCCCACGTGGCGTCCAGAGCAAAGGGGGGCTCCTGGTCCTGGGAAGGATCCTGTGACCCAGAAACCTAGAGGTAGAAGGAGTAGTAGTGAATTCATTCATTCAGTGCACTCTGTGTTTATGGAGCACTAACCCCACCTGCCTGGCACTGTTCCAGAGGCTGGGTGGGGGGCGGTTCACCGAGGAATAAAAGAGGCAAAAGGCCCAATACTCACTGAGATCACATTCTGGGGAAGAGACAGATGATGATAACAAAGTCAAACTGTATACTGAAGATGATATGTCCTTACCTATTTACATTCCATTGATATGAAATGTATACACCCATATTTATTTGTATATTTATATAAATGTAAGCAAAATTTATATATATATATTCATAAGCAACATTTTATTTATAAATGTAAACAAGCATAAGCAAACACACCGGAGGCTTTCCAGGGGAGGTTTCCCTTCTATGCAGGGAGCAGGGAGCAGGAGGGAAACTCCTGTGGAGAGCATCCCAGGCAGAGGCCTGAGATGGGAAAGTACTCAGGCATTTGGAGAACAGCCCAGAGGCTGAGCTGCACTGCGCTGAGCCCCAAAGCCATGTGCAAAGGAAGGAACAGGGTTCTGGGTGGGCCCACCAGCTGAGCAGCCGAAGGCCTTGTGGGTCATGGCAAAGACTGCATTCCCTAGACTGGTCTCCCTTTGTTAACGAGAAAGCAGAGGCCGAGGGGGAAAAAGGCTCAGGCAGGCCTGGGGATACCTCATCCAAGCATAAGATAGGAAGAGAGCAGGGCTCCACCGCACATCATTCTGCAGCCTCACCTATTCTGCGTCTTTTCCACCTGTTACTCTAGTGGTTGGAATCAGGTGAAAGTGTCTGTTTTGGAGGTCAGACTTTCACACTAATCCAAATCTCTTTTGTTGCTTTGGGTGGGTTAGGAGTGTGGGAGTGAAGCTGGGGTAGATCAGGGACCTGCAGCTGACTCGCCCTGGGCCCAGAGTGGGCTGCCTCTGCCAGGCATTTTTGGCTGCTGCCTGCACTGGAACTCCCCCGCGGGGGCCCCGCAACCACAGCGCCCCACAGACCAGCTTGGCGAACTGGAGCATGCTTCCAACGCGAACTCCTGGTAGCGCTGCTGGGCCCTGCTCCAGCCCCTATTGTTTCTGATTCCATAGGACTGGCAGGGGCCCCGAATCTGCATTTCTAACACGTTCCCAGGTGCTGCTGGTCAGGGACCCACTTTGAGACCCACCGCCCTAGACTGCTGTCACACAGATGAAGCTTCCGTGGGGTTCCAGGGCAGAGCCGGCGCCCCTGGTCACTCGCTTCTCATTCTCCAACCTCAGCCCTTCCCCGCCGGGCCGCCCATCTAGCCCTCCAGGGCCTCGCCGAGACCAGGTGGTTCTCTCGCGCGCGCAACCCCTCCCCGCCCCGGCGCGGCCCGCGCCTCCGGATGCCCCACGCCGCCCAGACAGGGGCGCACTCCCTCGCAGGGTGGAGGAGCCCGGGAGGAGCCCGGGGGGCGCTGCGGCGGGCGGGGTGCGCCCCGGGGCCCAGGTGCCGCCAGCCCCGTCCCGGGACGCGCGCGGCGGGCCGCCGGGAGCTCCCGAGGCGCGGGCGGGAGGGCGGGCGGGGGCGGCGCTCCGGTGGGCGCGGCGCACCTTGCTCCCGGCGCCCCCGCCCCGCGCCGCGCCAGCCCCTCCCCGCGCGGCCGGCGCCCCCGCCCGCCCGCCCGCGACCGTGCCAGCCCCTTCCGTCCGCTCGCCCCGCCGCTGTCCTCCGCCGGCCCGCGTGGGAGGACGATGGGTCAGCGCGGAAAAAGTGAATGAGGGCGGCGGCGGCGGCAGCGAGCGCCTAAGTCGGCCGGGCCGAGCACCGCGCGCCCCCCGCCCGCCGGCTCCATGGACGCGCCGCGCGCCTCGGCGGCCAAGCCCCCCACCGGGTAAGTGGCGGGGCGGCCGGGCGGCGTGCGGGCCGTGACTCTGCTCGGGAGGGACGCCCGCGCCCGCACGCGCGCACTCGGGGCAGGGGCGCGGGCACTGGGGAGAGCCCGGGGCCGGGGCGCCCCCTCCCCGCCCGCGGGACGGGGTTGTGTACTTTGTGCGCCCGGGTCGTTGCCCAGGTAACAGTGTCAGGCCGAGGCCGCAGCACTTTCCGCGCGGTGTGTTTGTGCGCGCGCGCCCTTTTTGGGGTCCCCGCGGGCGGAGCCTTTCTCAGCCACCTCCGAGTGATCGCGCCGGGGACCGGGAGGGCGGTGGGAGACCCGGCCTCGGACTCCAGCCCCGCCACTGACTTGCTGGGCGTCTGCCCGCGCGTTGCAGTGGTCACCGCTCACGCGGCCACGGTATGCCCGACACCGTCCGCTCTTCCCCGCGGGCAGGAGCAGGTTCCGGGACCTCGCAGACGCCTGGGTCCGGCGGTATCAGGAGCGCTGTGTGTAGGGCACTGCCCTGTGGGCTTCGCTGACATCTTCTCCCCTCCCCAGCTTTCTTCTCTGGGGTTCCCCTGTACGGTCTGCAGCGCACGGGCTGGGACCCGACCGGAGGTGGAGACCCCAGCTTCCCAACTAAAGTCCGGGCGTGCATCCTGCCCGCGCGGTTCTGCTGGAGCCCAGACCTGTCCGGGTGTCTGCTGCCATCCCCACACCTTGTGTGTAGGGATCACACGCCGTGTTCTGGTTTTACTCGCAGAGTACCTTCCCCGATAGAAGAAAAGCTATCCTGCCCTTTAACAGGACCCTGAGCTGGAGTCTGAACCGCGCCCAGCCCAAGCAGGCCGCGGGGTCGCGCGCAGCCTCTGCGGACGCTCGCGGGGCCCTGCGACCCGAGAACCAGCTCACTGGCCTGGAGCAAGTGTGCTATGAGTCTTGCAAATGGAATGAGTGCTTGGGTGGGACCTGCACCTGCTTACCGAGTGGGCCCACTTTCCGCTATGGCAACTGGTCTTGAACGAGGCAGCTTTGGGGACAACTAATCTCTTTTCTTTGCAGTTGTGTCCCACTGACTCACTCTCCCCATGTGCCCATAGGCCGCTGTGTTGCCCAAGTCTGCCTAAGGTTTTCGAACTTGCTCCTTTTTTGTTTTTTGTTTTTATCTCTCTCTATAATGCCAGGAAAAAGTGAGCCAGGTTAGCAAATCAAATAATCCTGAAACTGAGGAATGTTAAAAAGAACTTTTTTTTTTTTTTTTTTGCAATGCACTTACTGGTGGTTATGTAATTCCAGTTGAACAAACACATTTCCCAAAGAGAAAATAAATGCGGGAAATCCCTTTTCATGGTAATGGGCATCCCAAAATGACAGTATTCAGAATTACCTTTCGATCCGTCACTTTGGGAGCCTGTTTAATAATAAGCCAATTTAAGGAGACTGAATCCTTTCCTCATATGAAGGAAATGTGAAGGGGAGAGCATTTAAGAGGCCAGCAAAACTGGATTCAGAGATTATTTGTAAAATCCTTGCAAGGAATCTGATTGTGGGGGCAAAATGGTGAATACGAAGCCTGGGCACCCTCCCCAGCCCTGGTGCTATAGACCAGCGAGAGGCGAATCCACAGCCGCGTTCTTCACACTGCTTCTCCAAGCTCTGGTTGCACTTCACATCTGAGTCTCCCCCACACCCCTGGGGGAAACTAAGGGCTTTTGCTGTGGGTATGATAACAAAACCAGGCAGTTGTTACTATCCATACATTTATTTCTGTCCCTCCAATCTGCTTGTTTGAACGTCTTTGTCCGAGAAAGGTAGACCTGTTACTTTTACTTTTTATTACTCCCAATTATTTTATCACCTGTCGTTTGTTTTTTTTACATCAGGAGACATCAAGAAAATATCAATGTGCTTGTATTTTCTAGATAGGAATTGCATGATTAATAAAACTATTGTGTATTAAAGTTGGAGGAAAGAAATGGTCTTGGGCTTTTGGAATATTTTATATAATTGAGGGGCATTGCTTGCCTACCAGAGAGGATAGATACAGACATGAAATTTCTGGCTTTGGTACATTATCAGTGGCAGTCAAGTTCTGTTGGTTCTTCTCTGGTCTGCTCCTCTGTGGCTTGGAGAATAAGGCAGTGCTTTGCCATGTGCTCAGGGGAAATTTGTTTTCTGTCTGTTAGTGCAAGTTTTGGCTATCAAATCAAACTTGGAGCAAGCTATCATTTTCCCACATGATAGCAAACAACTGATGTGATGAACCTGTTGACTGAATCTAGCATTCCTTCTTGTGTTATGTAGAAACAGGCTGGCGGGGGAACAATGAAATAAGGAGATTTCACATTAGAAAGCAAGGTCTACAGAGGTCTTTCTTGAGGATCACTGAAGGAACCATCTGTTAGTGGACGTAGATTGTATATCTCACTAAATTATTCATAAGTAGTTATTAGTTATCTTTCTTGGGTACACAAGTATACCTTTTTAGTGGGACTGGAATTGTATGTTTTTAATAGTAATTTCATTAAAGCAAGGATTTATGACTAACTTTACTGTCTGGGAAAAGTATTCTTGTAGGAAGGAGGCAAAAACTGACAAGTTGACTCGATGTGACTTCTAAGGAATTTTAGAGCTCAGTTACAGTGTAATAATTGACAGAATATTCTGGAATGCAAGGGAAGACACATTTCCTTTGGGTGAAGTTTTTAAATATATTTAAGTCCATGTAAGATGAACCTTGAGTTTATCTGTTTACTTTTAGTTTCTCGTTTGAGTGTTTTTGCAATCCGTGCCAGTCATGGGTGGTAACGGAACACAGGGTTAAACTTCCCTCTGGACTCTGAATGAGACAGAGTGTTTGGGTTTGGCAGGATACTGGTTAATTTTTTTCTACGGAGGAAACACATAGTTCTGTAGAATAGAATAGTCTCCAGTGACACAAAATGTCAAAACCACCAGAGCATTTGCTCAGTGGCTGCATTCAAGAGCTGTCCTTACATAAAAATCAGGGGACGTTTGTTCAAGTTCATTAGAATCTGAGCTTCGTGAAGACATAGCTGATGTTCATTTCTCTGCATCAATTTGTATGGCTTTAATCAAGTTGTTAGAACAAGAAATGATTTTTTTTTTTAAGAAATGATTTTTTTTAAATTAATAGAAGTGGATAATTTGACCTCCTCTTCTGTCACCACCCAACAAAATATTATAGGAGCTGTTATCTTGACAATGACCATGGGCCATCACAATGACATCTTCCATTTTAACTCTGACAAGTGTACAAATGTTGCTGAAATATTAACGAGTGTACACCATAATAAGAAAAAAGTTTAGGTTTCTAGCCTTTTTTTTTTTAAGTTTTCTAGGCTTTTGGCTGACATGTTTACATTCTTTAAAATGATAGTATGTCTAATTATGTGTTATATTGAACTTTTCCCATTTAACTTAAAAGCTGTTACTTCTGAGCTATAGTTTTGGTTAGCAATACATTTAAGACTGCAAAAGGCAGGTGTTGTTTGATATAACCTGGAAAGTAGGCTTAGGAATCTTATTCTTTTGTGCTTGTAATTTTTCTGAATAAACTTGAGGAGTTGGACGCACCCCTGCAACAATGTCAAATGACCTTAGGGCACTTTTAATATTTCCTCCGTGGCTGCATAAGGATGATGAAGCTAAGTTATGATTTAAATTGGGAACACGGATGTTTGAATAATGTTGCCCCTCTCCTGCCTCCTGGACCTGAAGCATCTCCTCTGCCCTCTGCATGGCCTTTTCCTGGCCAGCCAGAGCCAGCGATCACTGGATAGGTGCAGGCGAAGTGACAGCCCCGCACACACGCAGGCCTGCGTTCCCGAGGCTGGGACCTGGGAAGTGAAGTCCTAACTTGGGTGCACCCGAGTGCTCCCATAAACATTAAGGAAACAGTGATTACAGGCTATGTCTACACACCATAATAAGCAGTTCCGGTTTCTAGGACTTCTGTGCTTTGTTATTAATCGTTAAACTCAATTTTATAATTGGTCGGAGGGTTTAAGCTGTGAGCAGAAGTATTTGATACCAAAGTCATGTATAGATCTAGGATGTGTGGATTTCACATACAGAAACGCTTGGTTGTGATTTAGGCTTGAACTAAGTGAAAGCATGTAGTAGAGACTTAGTGTATTTATTATGCAACATTTCCCTACACCCTTTTGGTCTCTCTCCGTCCACATTTAATTAGGGGTTCTGGGCTTTTATGTGTCAGTTCATTTTCCTGAATGTGGGTTTTCACTTACTTTGTACTTTAACCACAGATTTTATATATCTCTTCATCTTTGTACTTTTTCTCTACTTAATATGTTTGATATCGAATTATATTATTGATATATGGGTGATACGCCTTTTCTCTGTTATAGGATTTTAATTTATTTAGGCAAAATTTAAATGTTGGCTCCTCCCATTTTATACCTTCGCTTTCTCATTTTACCGTATCACCAGAGTGTTTATCGTTCAGGGCCACTTGCTGGCTTTCAACACTCGAGTCGGTGGCAGCGTTGACTTATGTCACTTTCCCTTCATGTTTCCACATGGCTTTATTTTGCACCCGCCTCTTCCTGTGGCAGCATTACAGTTTTTTTCTCGTGTATACTTTGTTTGGTTTCATTTGCTTTATACAGAGCTAATGATTGCACTCGTTTTCAAGACCTAATGGTATTAATTTGAGACTACATTTTGCTGTGTACTCTGGTGTGACAAAAGGACAGCGGTCTCCAACAACGTCTGTTCTTTCTACCGCCTGCCTCAGGAACGTCCCCGCGCTTCTGAGCAAGCCCCTCTGGAGACAGCTCACTTCCCCAGCTGGGAGATACTTTGTGGCCTCTGGGGTTTTTACAAGCTTCCATCTGGTTTCCCTAATTAGGTGGTGAGCTGTTGCTTGCCAAGACCATATTTTCTACAGGTCATGTCCAATTAGAATAAATTCCACAGCCAAAAACATTTTCAATAAAAAAAAAAAAAAGAAAAAGCTTTTCAAGAGACCA